AAGGGATATCCACCCATCGCGAAAAAAGATATCAGTATGCTTGTCTACCTGATGGTGGTTAAAATGGATAAAGACATACCTTTCAGAATAATTAAATATTTTGTAAATCCAACGATTATTTCGCCCGAACATGAGTTCCCGTCAAATGTTTTACCTCATTCGATTAGTAAATCTTTTAAGCAAACGGATCTAAAAAGGAAATTAGGTGGAACTTCCACTTGACACTTGGGTTGAATTCATTGTTACTAAACCTCAATTAGAAACGGATCCTGGTTTCGCTGAAAAAGCCCTCGGTGTCATAGCCCGAGGTATTGGAAAATGCTCAACCAGGAAACAAGATCGGATAAAAATGTTACTCAGGAAAAAAAGATGCGTTCCTACAAATAAAGGAATGAAATTGCCGATGGAATCGTATCTTCCTAAGGTCAATCTTTTCCCTGATTTGCCTATCGTTTCTATGGGAAACCTATCGGCTGTTAAGGATTTTTTGCGAAAGTTGGACGTCCGATCTCACGTAGAATTGCAACTTATATTTGATCGCCTCGTCAAGCAGGGTAGTTGGAATCACACTCGACTTTTAAAGTATCTTGTGTCAATTTCGAACGATTTAACAGAAGAAGACAAAAAAACATTAATGACTTCCGAGATTTGGCCAAAAGAAAACTCTCAAAAAGAAAGGAATGTATCCAATAACAAACCAAAATTTATGGCATGTGAATTGTATGTCCCACTGAAAGAAATACGAGAATTTAATCTACCTGCTATTAGCTGGAATGGGACGTGGTATAATTATAATAAGGACGCCAAATTCTTATATATGTTAGGTCTTCGAGAGTACCCTCCCATCGATGTTATTCTTCAACTTGCTTCATCGAAATCGGAGCAATCTTTAAGGGAGAAAGCCCTGCTATATTTCATTAAAAACTTTAGGGAAAAATATTCTTCCGAGTATAATCCCAAGGAAGTCGATGTTGCCTTCTTGCCATGCACCGAACCCAACATATATGAGACCCCATTAGGATGTTTTCAAATCCCGAGTGTACAATCATGAAATTTCACGCCTTGCGTCAGGATCTCCGCGCTTACGCCGAGGAATTTGGTGTTCGTCAGTATCCTGACAACAAAGACATTTTGGAAAGACTGTCCAAAGATTCACCTGTAAATGAGAGAAATGCAAGAGGAGTTTTTGAATATTTGGCAACACTACAGTCGAATTTTTCCAATCAAGAATGGATGACTCTTCGTCTCCTGAAATTTATACCAGCTCCGAATAACTCTCGGCCAAACGAAATCATATATGTTAATCCGCGCAAATGCTTTTTCACGGGTCACGGCATGAGTTACAGAGATATTTTTCCCTGCGTGAATTTTGGCGAGAAAGCAAACAAATTTTTACAAAACTGTGGTGTCCGAGAAGAACCATCACCCGCAGACCTCGCAGAGTATCTCGTGGAATCATCGGAGGAATATTGGGAAAAAACAGGGGAGGATGTAGCAAAATTCTTTACACAATTGCTATCAATCGAGAAAAATTGTCAGACGCTTTGATCGATAAAATACGTCAAGCCAAGATGTTGTTAGGCATGAAGAAAAGCTTTCGAAATGATGACAGAAATTACAAACTAGCTAGGATAATGAGAAGAGGAAGTGACAACTTTCCAAGAGAAACCAGAAGTTATATTCTTACGTTCGCAAAAGATATTTTAATAAGCGACAGTCCAAGGTATCAAATGATCTTCAACCCGGTACTTGCGCCCGAGGAAGAACCTTTAGAAAATTTATATCGGGAATTAGGGTGTCGTGGATTGTCCGAATGTGTCATCGAGAAGCCTCAACAGATAGGTGCAACGAAGTCTACCAAAAATGCCAAAAATCTAAGACAGGTAATCGTCGAGAGGGCGAAACTCTTTTATGATGGCATTCCGGAATCCAATATTAAAAGAAAAATCGACTGGATTGAAAGGTTATCGGTCAAGGAGGTTAAAAGCATAGAAATTACATATGAGCTCGTCACCACTAAACAAACAAAAGTCGAAACCATAAATTCTTTTATTCCGTCTGATTCTATGATTTTATATGTTATTCCTGGTGAACCCGACTATCTCGGAATCGCGTCAAACTTAGTACGACAGATATATAAAAACTATAGTTTTAGGGATATTTCACATTTGTCTATGCTTTTAATGGCTCCGCTAGAAAGCTTGGAACTATATGGTTATCCAGTCGAACGTATTTTAGAAAAGAAAAAATTTGAAAATCAAAAATTAGTTAACAAAGACCAAGAGGGAGGAGAAATTATCAAAATGGTTGATGTGACGTCCTTGGAATTCACGAAAAACTTGCATGATAGACTTCGCAGTGCGGTCAAGTCTTGCTGTTCTAATTTGGAGAGTAAAATAATAGTTTCGAAAGACGCGGAGGACAAGGAGACCGAATCAAATCCTTGTGAGAATCTTCCAGATAGCTATCTAACGGATATTGGTTTCGAAGGCGGAATTCAAGTTTTTGTGGCCGAGGGTGTGAATCCGTCAGAAATAATTGGAACACCCATCTTAACTCGATTTGCCAGTATTCTTAAAGATCTCAGCGAAGTGTTTGAACTGCCTCTAAAGACGATTCACATTTTTCACGATCCCTACACGAACCTTATTGCGTTCAATCGAAAAAAGGCATTATTCTTCAACTTTAAGTTTTATAATAAAACCAAGGGCGAAGATTCTTTTAGTGATGCGTTTACCTCCTGGTACTTGACATTCTGTCATGAACTGGCGCACAACATTTCCCATTCGCATAATGCAGAACACGAGAATAATCTCTGCTCATTTGCAGAGTTATACATGCCAAATTTCTTGCGTCTGATGGACGAGAAAAAGAGCATATGCAAATGTTGATCATGCGGAAACGCAAGTTATAATGAACATTTTTCTTTGAACTTTCAAGCGTAGAGTTGAACATTTTCCAAACCGGCTTTGTTTCGAGACATCAAATCAAAATGCTAAAATTATAAACTTTGCATTTTACATTATTCCATAGAGAAATTATAGTAGAAAATCCCAATACTCATGGATAATCAAATGTTCTTTTGTGCGATATGTGCCATAATTTATTCATTGTATTTATAGAATTCGATTTGTTTAATAATAAACAATTTCATACTTACTGCTACTTTAGTATACTATACATCACTAAACAATAAAAAAATTTTTTTTTTAACGCTGGCTGAGCAATACTTTATTGGGATAGAGTAGTAATTGTACATTTTAATTGCTATCCTACTGTATATTGAACTATTCACAGTATATTTTAATCCTATAAAGAGAACAATAGACTATCCCCTGAAAGAATTCTTCTACTTTGTGGCTGTGTCACCCAAGAACGAGACTAGTACAACGGATTTCTGGTATTAGAAAAAATAAGTAAAGATATCTCAAAGAAAAAAACCATATATGACTAAGTAGAAGTGAAGATCTTGTATAAAATAAAAGAGGTTTTGAAGAAAAGAAAAGTTGATTTAGTTATGAAGTGATTTAATTATTATGCTATCACTATTATTTTGATATCGTAAACCAAATACTCTTTAAAAGCTTCTTTAATTAAAGATACATTATCTATTTTTCAATTGCTTTTAGTATTTTTATATTATATAGCAATTATTAAATTTTCTAGTTTTTATTTTTAATTTTCTTTATATACTAATCAGTATAAAATCTTTATGGATATTTTTTCAAATATAATTAAATAATAGTTTTAAAAAGATTTAAATCAAAAAAAAATAACTTAATAGTTGTTAAATATATAAGATTTTATTCATACAAATAAAAAGATAAAACTATTTATTCAAAAAAACTCTTTTTGCTGATCTCTAATCACATATAAAAAAGATATTCACAAAAAGTTTTTATATTTATTGACTAATAAAGTCTTTCCTTTCTTAAAAAAACTTGAAACTTGTCTTTAAGAGTCATTAATACCTTCTTTTATTTGTTTACAAATTTCTTTGAACAAAACTTAAATCTCTAGTAGTCTAAATAGACTTAAGCATATACTTTTATTATTAAAAACAAGAAAGTTCTAGGAAATAAAAGGACTAACTGGTGGAGTATTACCTTTTAAAGCTAGAAATAATATTGAAATAGAGGTTTTTTAGATAGGGAAAGACTTATTATCTACCTTCTCATATATATATCTTGTTCTTTTAGAATATTTACAGCTTTTTATAGTTTTTTAGCGAATTTTGCCTACTCTAGCTTGACCCTGAATTTCTGATAGCATATTATTATCTGGCTTCTAATTGATTAACATGAAACATGCTGATAGTAAAATGTAAACAAGATTCTATTAACCATATTCATATGTTTCAATGATGTTCTTAGCAACAAAAAGAGAATCTATTGATTAAATTCTTCACTTCTCTAAATAAAGTATAACTGAAGCAAAAAAACCATAGGACTATTAGAATGGCACTAAATTTTCTAAGTGATATTGTGGACTAACCTGACAAGTTTATCACTGATTTGTAACACCTCATGTAATTCAGATGACTTACAAATACTCACAACTAATACAAAGAAATGAATATCTCTTATAAAAAATACTTAGAAAAGACAAAAATATAGTAATTGACTTGGTTGATAATAAGTATCTCTTTATTCATATTCGATTTCTTTTATATATCACTAACTCTTATTTCTATTCACAATAAGAACTGTTTTCTAATACATTCAGTACTACCTCTTGACATATATTAGTAAGCTATTTATACTTTTCTGACTAATAATAAACTATCTACTTTAATCGACTATGCTAATCCTAAACTTTGTTAAACTTTTCATACTTTGTCAAATATATATGGTTCCTTTATTAGTACCTGAGCCTTAATCTATAGTTTCTTGCCTTGTGACACTCAATCTTTTATGCCAAACTTTTAGATTTTTGAATTTTAGACTATTATATGTAAATAGTATCACCTACATGATCCAGGACAATAATAAAAAATGATTATTTATTTAAGCCGGAATCTTTATCTTCTTATTATTTCAGTTAGGCAAAATATACAAAGAAAGTTATTTCTTTATCTTAGAAGATAAAACTGAAAAACAAAAGGCTATAAGTACTAACTCTTCTCTAGGATTAAAAATATATTTTCTTAGATATTATATAATAATATTAGCATAATAAGGATTTTTATTACTTTATGATACTTTTTATCATTGCAAAACAAAAAAGCAATTGAGAAATCGAACTTTTAGAACAATAAAAAATACATATTGATAAAATTTCTTTAATTAAGCATATTTGTTAAAAATATTAATAGTTATATAATATGATCGAAAGGTTATATAAGAATCTGAGATTCATTATAAGTTATAATTAAAATACAAATAGATATGTTAAATATAAAATCAATATAAAAAAAGAGAAAGTAATAGCAAGATTGAATTTGAGTATACAATAAGTATCTTAGATAGTATCAACCTATCCAATAACCTCCAAATTAGATAGATAGATGGGACAACTATAGTAGTAATCTACTTTAAGTTAAGGAAGAATACCTTGGTCGTGATATACTAAAATTAATAATTCAAAAATAGTAGAGTTTACACAAATATGTTAAAAGAGGCTTTGATTAATTTGGTTTAATTAGAAGGTTTATTAGAGATATATAATGTCAAGAATAAGAGAATTCAGCAGGTAAAACCTTGGGTCAACTGCTTTGGACAGCTGGCCCTTATATACATAATTGAACATTAATTATTTGGTAACCAAAGTGATCAAAGTGACTAAATCTGCCATATTTATCAAATTAGACCAATATGCCAGATCTGCTCACTTGGGTAACCTGCTAGCTAAATATAAATAAGATATGAAAATTAAATAACAAAATTAAATAATGTGTATTACATTAATCACTACTTTGCCTTAATGATTAGATCTACCCTATGAACCAATGTGACACTCCTTGCATCACATGTATCACATGATCTAAAAATAGAACTAAAGCAATATGATAGACAAAAACTATAGATAATAATTAAAGGAAA